TACCTACCAGCGCCCAGCGCTGAAGACTACAGCTACAGCTATGGCGCCCAGCGCCGAAGACTACAGCTAGCGCTACCACTACTGCCTAGCGCTGAAGACTACTGCAGCGCTCCTCCTGAGTGCTGCGGCCGAATCCTGAAGACTACCTCTGCCTACTGACTACCTACCCGTGAAGTGCATGGGAACCTCCTATGTACTACGGGTGTGCCTCTTGGGCCTGCTCCTGCTCGAGTACATGAGGAACAGGCTATTTTGGGCCTGTTCCGCATCCCTGTTTCCGTGCCTGAGTCTTAGGAGCAGGTCGAAACAATGAGGGCCTGAAAATGGCCCTCCGTTTCAGGCTGAAAACTCTGGGTCTGAAAAGACCCAGAAATAGGCTGAAACGAGGTAGGGCCTGCAGGCCCTCGTTTTTCAGCATCCAGGCTGAAATGAACGGGGCCTGTAAGCCCTAAGTTTTAGGCTTTTAGGCTGAATGTCCGGGACGGGCCCTGTAGGGCCCGTGTGGCTACGCGGTATGCCACAGGGTGCCACTCCCTTGAGACCAACCTCTCCATGGTACGACAGAGCATCGCACAGCCTAGGATAGCCCTGCCAAAAGAAGAATTCGCATGGAAGCCCGGGAACTGGGGACTGCTCATCATCGAGACCCGTCCAAAGAAAGCGCACTGGTTCATTAGGCGCCTCACAGGCTCGAGCTACCGTGCCAAGTTCGACTCTTACCCGATTGACAACCAGAACCTCCAAGAACCAACAACCCTGAACATTGACCCCCAATACGAGACCTTAGAAACTTTCACACTTAGGAAGGTCAGGGTTTCTCAGTCTAAGCCATGGGCGATCTTTCGGCCTGACCTCAGCATCAAGGACATGGAATTCGACCCCAAGGAGTGGATCTGGAGACAAGACAAAACCAGCAAAACAGGAACAATAGCTGAATANCGGCCTGACCTCAGCATCAAGGACATGGAATTCGACCCCAAGGAGTGGATCTGGAGACAAGACAAAACCAGCAAAACAGGAACAATAGCTGAATACGACATCAAATTTGGGTACGATCTCGGATTGCAGACAGTTGACCCTAATCCCAGACTACTGAAGCGATGGAGGAAGATACTGGAGCTCAATCCCACAGCCTCTTTCACTATTCCATGGGCAAAATACCTCCTCATAAGCCCTGTACAGTATGATCTCTGGAATTCCCTCTTCTCAACTCCCCTCCCTGAACACCCCATCCGACTCCTTCTATGGACTAACATCCCAGCTCAAGTCCACAAGACCGAGAAAACGTGGTTTGGAATGATCAGAAAGGTAATGTTGTGGTCCATCTGGAAGGAATGGTGCTGCAGAACCATTGAGGGACTCTCAACTCCAAGGGAGAAGGTATGGGCGGAGACAAGGACCTTGATTCAGGCAGAGATTCTTTGCAAGTGGCAAAAGACGAGACACTCCATGCCAGATGACTATGAGCAAAAGAGAAGAATCTCGGCAAAATTCACTAAGGTGTGCCTCGCAGGGGGCAAAGTAGTAGAGATAAATGACCTTCGCATACAGTGGAAAGACTGACATAACTCAGAAGCAGGGTGGAGAAGGCAGAGATCCCAGCCAGCAGATGGACAAGATCCATCACACGCCACATAATATTGATGGGCAAACTCCGAGATTGCATCCGCCGCAGCTTCTTTTACCTTTCTTGTTCTTTATTAGTTATCTGACAGGTTCATGAGGCGGACCTGAGAGGGAAGGTGGAAGTTAGGCAAGTTGACAGTCAATCCTCGACAATGCCGGAGTAATCAATGCTGGTCAGGGGTCCTTCGTCCAGACGGAAGGAAGTGTGAGTGTGTGTCATGATGTCACATATTATTCTGACTTGCCGGTGGAATAGGAACCGGACTGATGCTGACGACAGTTGGTCTTGCACATGCTGCTTGACGCTGCTTGACGCTGGTAGGACGACGCAGGAATGCCAAAGCTTTAAGCTGGCGCCATTCTCTGTGTCTACCGCGCCAGCTGTGCACTCGATTATGCTGACGTGGCTCTTGCCACACTGACTACGACATTGATGTAGAGCATGGCCGAGGAGGAGGAGGATCAGGGGGTGCCAAAGCTTTCCGCTGGCGCCATTCTCTCTGACTACGGTGCCAGCTGTGCACTTGATTGTGCTGACGTGGCTCTTGCCACACTCACTACAACATTGGTGTGGAGTATGGGCGAGGAGGAGGAGGATCAGGGCTGTGACAGAATGGTTGACTGAGAGAGGGAAGCGTACCTCATTGTGATTGTGTCTACATTGCGCATTTCTGCGTACCTGATTGTGATTGTGTCTCTACATTGCGCATTGCTGTACTCCGTCTTCAGC